ATCAACAACACACACAAGCATGTCTTAATCCTCATTAACAACGCACACAAGCATGTCTTAATCTTCATCAACAACACACACAAGCATGTCTAAATCCTCATCAACAACACACACAAGCATGTCTTAAGGTGGCTCCACACTTTCGCAATTAACCAGCAAAAATCGTTGAAACTTTCATATAATGGTTATGCAACTATGTAGAGTTGATTTTATGAAAATCTAAACATTCCGATAGTTTGGGGACTTTTTTGGAAAAAATACCAAAAAATTGAATTTTCATCAATTTTAATATTTTCCGGGTTTTTTTGTGTGTGGCATTGTTCGGAACAATAACAACAATAATAAAATGAAAAGAAGCATTTTTAATTAACCCTACAAATATTTTATTTATCGCAAAATATGTAACACATGTTACACGAAGTGTTTTTTTATTGAATTTGTACGGATAAAAGTGATTATCTACAAGTTTAAAGCAAACAGGACACAAAGATCTATACATATAGAATGGGAANAAAAATATGATATCAAAATTATCAATTTATTGTTCTTTAATGGAACCAAATTACCCTCAGTCATGTACACTTTGGACATCATTCCACAGTCCGCTAACTCACGGTATATTTATAATTACATGTCAGGTACATATGTGACCAGAGGCTATCGCATGGTATGCCGTTCTCACGTGCACTCACACATGCATTTCATAGGTATCTTGATATTTTACAAAAAAATATTTTCACAGAGTAAGTAGACTACATTTGTAAACACGATTTAATCGACAGAGCGAAACTCCCTCAACAGCGAAAATCGTAACGACCTCGAGCTTATGAACTCGTGTAAGCACGTGATATGCACATGTGAGGTCGGTACGTCCGCATTCCATGCGTTTCCTATATGACCTTCTTGAGGTCGTTTGATCTCATGCCACTGTTTTCCCGTGAGTCTGTTTATGTGTATGAATTGGAAAGCTTTATTCCTGAAATACGTGTGATTATACATTTCCCGGTAAAATCTCGATATCGGGTGTTGACATATCATCGGCACGCACGTGTACTATTGTTTACCAGGGGCCTGTTCGTTTATGCGGAGCAACCGGTTTGACCGTTTACAAATGGAACAATTTCGGGTATAAATCCTTGCGGACCTGCAAATGTGTATGCAGGCCTTGCAAGGCTTTCTCAAGGCTCGCCTGAAAGCATCATCAGATTACAAGGTCCAACCTTATTTAATAAACGAACAACAGTGGTCCGATCGGTTTGACCGTTTAAACGAAAACGGCCCAGGTGTTACTATGATTTGCACTACGATATTGAATGGCTGATACGCAATACGGTTTGACCGTTACGGTGTGCATGCACATTTCGATCAAGATAATTGAGTCCGAGCTGTACTTTTTCCGGAAGTACGTCACGAAAATGGACGCTGATGACGATGTGTGGAGCCACCTTAAAATCCTCATCAACAACACACACAAGCATGTCTTAATCCTCATCAACAACACACAAGCATGTCTTAAGCCTCATTAACAACGCACACAAGCATGTCTTAATATTCATCAACAACACACACAAGCATCTCTAAATCCTCATCAACAACACACACAAGCATGTATTAATCCTCATCAACAACGCACAGAAGCATGTCTTAATCCTCATCAACAACACACACAAGCAAGTATTAATCCTCATCAACAACACACACAAGCATGTCTTAATCCTCATCAACAACACACAAGCACGTCTTAATCCTTAATAACAACACACACAAGAATGTTCAAATCCTTGCCAACGACACACACATGCTTGTTTTAAGCCTCTTTGGTAACATGCCATTATATTTAAAATCTCATGCATATTTGATATATGCCAACAATGTTATCCAGTGGTTGGTATAAGGACTAGCATTTCGGAGTAATTTCTGATATCTCATATCGTGTATTTTTGCTTACAAATGAAGATACCATGAGTATGATGTAGAAAGTTCTATGAATTTAGCAACGACTCATGGCATAATGGGTTCAAAGTCGATAAACCATGAAAACATTACAAAGACAATAAAAGAAACTAACATTCCAGTTTTATTATATTTACATTTGTAATACACGTACGAGGCTATAGCATACATTCCTGAAAGGTTGGAAGAAGACACCGTCCACAGGACTATAGATGATTATGTATTTAATATGACATGCTATAGCAACAATATTCTAAATAGCACATATTATCCATTTCCTTACATAACTCAACAATGTTTTAATTGGTTCTTTAGTTATATACAATGAAGCTTCATGTCGTTAGGCCACATGGACCGAGCTAATCAAGGGGAAGGGAGATACATGTACCGACCTTGACCCCAGAATTAGTCTGCTGTCGATCGATCACAGTATCACAGCAGACGATATTAAAAGAGATATATGGCCTTGGGTTTATTATAGGTCATTAACGTAACTTCCAAAATATAATAGTCGAAGATGTCATGACGCTCAGTTTTCCATGCCTCCTGACAGTAATTTGTAAGAATCTGGTCATCAAAATCCAAACTTGGTGTTTGCAAATATTGGAATAGGACCTAGACGAATCATTCAAAATGAGCAATAGGTTTTAATTAATTAGTGTTCTAAATAACGCATGGCTAAATTTGATATGAAATTTACTCTTGTTCGATACGTCGAAATATTTGCAATATCGAAACCTCTGATTTAAGCTACCGTATATTTTGTGGACATAATTATACACCAATGGAAACGTATATTGCATATCAATAACCTGCATTCGTGTAGTGTGGGGAGTATTAACAATGATAATATATCACACATTTTCTACGATAGCTATTATATAAGATAGGAATCTACTTGACATAAATATCATGTATGTAGATAGTGAGAGATTAATAAAATGGACACTTAAGCGCATATCTGTAAGTTTAAAATGGAAAATGTAAAAACATAAAACCAATATTAAGCAGAGACAGTATTCAATACAAATTGCATACTTTGTGTAGTAATTACAATCAGTCACATATTAATATATACTATATAATATCTTAGCACAGAGTTAAACATCTAAAAGAATATCATCACGATGAAATAGTTACTAAGGTGAAATAACAATCAATAAAATAACTTACAAAAAAATGTTTACAATGTTTTGACAAACAGCGATAATGTAAACCTCGTTCTGGTAGATAATGCCTAAGCCTTTCATTCAAGGCAGAACGAACACCAATGCAAATTATTTCCGTTGGTATTAAGTTTTCCTGCAGTGTCATTCAACTCAAGCAAAAACGGTCATTGGTATATAGTGTTCATATGTTTAAACAAAGAGAGATTGGAGCTCAGTGGGAGTCATTCTACAGCATGTTATCAACAAAATAAGATAAACACCACAAAAGGATGAACCCCGACAATGACGTATCAAGCTTAACACTATTGGATATTTAACAATTAAATCTTCAAACACACTAAAGGCTAAAGCTATTGTGAACACAAACAGGAATTGAAAACTAATTGTGCGAATTTTCGAAGAGTGTAAAAGACCGATGTCTCGACTCGTAACTGCTGAAAACACCTCACTTAGCCTCAGTGGACCGAATCAAGTAAAGTCAGCTGTCAGGAATCATAGAGACAGTTATTTGATGTTCCTGAAAATCATTTAGGCCCACTGTGGCTTAGTGTAATGTTTTCACCTGTCACTTAGCTCTCTGTTTGACAAAGGAAACCAACGTTTCCGAAAGCTCGCAAATAAGTTTGCAATTCCTGTTTGCGTTCAAAACAAACTTAGCCTTTTTATTCATACCAAACTGATGAATCTTATTCCGAATATGCAAACATACTATTTGCAATAACAACACAATTTGCATCCACAATATATTTTCAGTATATAGCGTCCGTATTCTCCCATACAGTACATCAATTATAGAATACGAACGACACTACGTTTACAATACATAGATCACTATATCATGAATGCGATAAAAAGTTTTGATGTGCTAAGTACTAAATATATCTTGGTTTGGCACACTTCAACGAATAGTTCAGTTGTACGCTCGACACACCATACCAAATAGTTGTGTCGAAAGCTTGAAATACCATGGAAAACTGATCAAATGAACGCTTCAAATACAAAATGCAATAGATATACGCTTTTGTGCAATTAATATCCTTTGATCAAATTTTGTCCTTAAATTATTTGTAAAGTTGCTTCATGTTCGCTGTATAAGTTTCAATGATTATATACACATTTTATTGGAAGATTTCAATTAATTAGCGCAAGTTATATATATTTGGTCATAAATAGTTCCTAATACATATATTGCATCTTGTAGTAAGTCGATATCAATAATAATCTGTTTAATAATCAATGGTGAATGCGCAGGGCCACAATGTACTGCTTACATGAATATCTAAAATTATTTATAGGCAACGTGAGAAGGTTAAATGTCATCTTGAAAAAAAGTGAAAGGATTTATATTTGAAATTCATATTCTCAAAACACAGAGGAATATAAACAGGATACCTATAATCAATATTCAGCAAAAATTAGATTTAGAAATGCACAGATATTCACAACAAATGTATGTGTGTGACGACATTTCAATTCAACAGATTTTATCGACTTTATATATGTCAATTGGATTTGACATCAGCTGGCTAGGCCTATTTAAATCCTTTCCAAACTTATTTACAAACATTCTGTCATAACAATCTAATTAAACAGTACAGGGGAGATAACTCAAATTTAGCTTGTGAAATGAACATTTAACTACTTTTATTTAATCTTTTGCTGTTTATGTTTTGGATATTAATAATTAAATAAATCATGTATATTTATCGACAACCTCTCCTACATAAAATCCAAGGGATACAGGCCCAAAAGTCCCTGTATATCAACACATTGGCCATTCACCCCCTGGATATATAGGATAACTTACCAAGAAATAAACAAGAAATAAACATTTTGTAAAATTTCACAATATGATATGGATTCATATAGGAAAATGTAGTTATTGTTATCTATTATTGGAGTTGATTCTCTTAAAATTTCTTTAACAAAGCACTATAGAATATTCATGTAACTATGAAATAGTTAGAACAGGTTATAGAATAGTACACTCATAAATTCCATCCAGTCCAGACGAATACCAGATATGTTGTAAAGATATATATACACCAGTATCAATACTTATTAGCAGAGTGATCATGAACCTATAAATAATAGCATCTCTTTCAATGTAAAGTTTACCTGTGAGTGAGATTAAATATCAAGCCTATTAGTTTGACAAATGTAGTATACTTTGTAAAATGGATCTGTTGATTTAGATTTAGATTAAAATGACCATGGTTACAAGTTATACTAAATGCATTCTAATGTTGTTATAGAGTGGGCATTCAAATATAAAATGAAATGCATTTTCATTTTCATGTCCACATCTACATGCTGGTGTGTCATTCAGATGATTCATACATAAGTCATTATTTAGGTTGCTACAGTAGCATGGTTTCTTAGTTGACAAATTATGATATTAAATTGTCTTGGCCCATAGTATTTAAATGTGATAGCAACTTCTTCAGTGTTGTTCATATTATCAGACTTGATGACATTTTTAAATTGTTGAAGGGAAGTAGCATTTAAAGTTTCTGCAGATAGAAGTTTAAATTCTCTCCACATTGAGGGAAAATAACTATTGAAATAATTCTCAGTTCTACGGGAAGGGGGATTGAAAATACGGCTATTTCTTAGTGGTATCTTACATTTATATTGCTGTGAAGGTATGGTTCAATGATGTCTTCTATGTAATAAGGCGATTCATTATTTAAAATTTTGAACATAAGTACTAATTTATGATTTTTTCGCCTACAACAAAGTGATTCAAGTCCAGTTTCTGCATAAAGCTTACAATGGGAGGTCCGTCTACACAATCTGTTATAATTCTTAATGCCTCTAGCTGGATTGACTCAAGAATATTTTTATTTTGGTTACTACAGTAATCCCATACTACATACCCATATTCAAGTATTGGTCTAATAAAAGAGGTAAATATTGTTGTGAGACTTTTTCTATCCAATTTGTGTTTTAACATTCTCAATATATTCATTCTTCTATAAGCTAGCTCATAAATATTGTGTGACGACATCAACTTTGTATGATAATAATGTAAATGGAATAAAACCTGTTGTCAGCACTAACATGGAATACATTTGAGAAAAGGACAAATATGCTAGTCAGTGACGTTGGTTGCGAATTCACGCTTTTCGAGCAGCACAAAACAATGACGCATAATGCCGATAATACAAGGCTTTAAAAATCTATACTAACTTAAAGTCACAGTAAAATACATGTTATTTCCAAAAAGCGTTTCTCATTAAGAAAAACTATAAAACATATCTTAAGTATTAGTCGTTAAAATGCGTAGCAAGTTTTAAATTATTAAGCAAGAACAATAAAGGAGTGACTTTAATTAGCATATAGCAGGTAGGTACGGTGGCTTAGCAATTTTTGCATAGAGACTATAGTATATGTTCTCTCGACGCTACCGACACACACAATAATGCATTTCTTCGTATCTTCTATCCAATTAACAGTGTATTCTCTTTTTAAAGGTGAAACTTCCCTTGACTAGATAGATGGTATGGTAATGTTGGGCAATATGTTTGAAAAAAAACCTAGAAGGAGTTTTATCTATTTACATATTATGTTAACCATTTAAAGAACAAAACTAGTCAACTCGATGTTTTTCTTTACAACTACGTTATGTCAAACCAGTCCACGTGTATAACACTGTTATCTTAAAAAAACCCACTGTAAGCTACCCAAAAGCGACTCCCATCAGGTTTTTATCATTACTTCTATTTCACTTATTATTGAGCATTTCGTTTTAGGCTTAAAAGGGAATAAAGACCTTTAAAACTCGGTCGAGATCATTTGAATCCTTGAATACTGTGTCTCGTTATATAAAAACAAAATTAGAGCATTTGCACATCCCTGTTCAATCTTAAATTAATAAATGAAAACAAATGAATTTGTAATATATGCGCCTACATGTTAAATGTAACACTGAGGGAGCACAGAGCGACTGCACAAATGGTGAGAAGAGTGTTGATGTTTAAGGCTGGGGCGGACGACTCTGTAGACAGTTTGTAATTGCGTGTTATTGATGGTGCACCATTGCTTCTGGTACTGGTCTTCCTCTGGGAGGTCGGGAACTGCGATCGCAACGTTTGAATCTACAACACAGAGGAAAACATCAGTACCACACGCGCCAGACAAATCAATAACACGGTGGGAGCTTTGCCATCACTGCACCTAGCTATCATTGATCAAATAACACTGTGGGACACTTCGTATGCGTTACCATGGTAACCAAAGTTTTTAACAGACAAGACAAAGACATATAACCTGTATATTATTTAAAACCAAGACATTCAAAAGTATGGATTCATCGTATCCCCTGTAGTGTACTAAAACCTCGAGGGGGCATACTAATGTGAATGGGATATACGCTAGAAAATCAATACAGAGCTAGATACAACAAAACGGTGCCAAGGCACATAACGTTATATCACCACACAGTGAACGTTACATAACGTTATATCACCACACAGTGAACGTTACATAACGTTATATCACCACACAGTGAACGTTACATAACGTTATATCACCACACAGTGAACGTTACATAACGTTATATCACCACACAGTGAACGTTACATAACGTTATATCACCACACAGTGAACGTTACATAACGTTATATCACCACACAGTGAACGTTACATAACGTTATATCACCACACAGTGAACGTTACATAACGTTATATCACCACACAGTGAACGTTACATAACGTTATATCACCACACAGTGAACGTTACATAACGTTATATCACCACACAGTGAACGTTACATAACGTTATATCACCACACAGTGAACGTTACATAACGTTATATCACCACACAGTGAACGTTACATAACGTTATATCACCACACAGTGAACGTTACATAACGTTATATCACCACACAATGAACGTTACATAACGTTATATCACCACACAATGAACGTTACATAACGTTATATCACCACACAGTGAACGTTACATAACGTTATATCACCACACAGTGAACGTTACATAACGTTATATCACCACACAGTGAACGTTACATAACGTTATATCACCACACAGTGAACGTTACATAACGTTATATCACCACACAGTGAACGTTACATAACGTTATATCACCACACAATGAACGTTACATAACGTTATATCACCACACAATGAACGTTACATAACGTTATATCACCACACAGTGAACGTTACATAACGTTATATCACCACACAGTGAACGTTACATAACGTTATATCACCACACAATGAACGTTACATAACGTTATATCACCACACAATGAACGTTACATAACGTTATATCACCACACAGTGAACGTTACATAACGTTATATCACCACACAGTGAACGTTACATAACGTTATATCACCACACAGTGAACGTTACATAACGTTATATCACCACACAATGAACGTTACATAACGTTATATCACCACACAATGAACGTTACATAACGTTATATCACCACACAGTGAACGTTACATAACGTTATATCACCACACAGTGAACGTTACATAACGTTATATCACCACACAGTGAACGTTACATAACGTTATATCACCACACAGTGAACGTTACATAACGTTATATCACCACACAGTGAACGTTACATAACGTTATATCACCACACAGTGAACGTTACATAACGTTATATCACCACACAGTGAACGTTACATAACGTTATATCACCACACAGTGAACGTTACATAACGTTATATCACCACACAGTGAACGTTACATAACGTTATATCACCACACAATGAACGTTACATAACGTTATATCACCACACAATGAACGTTACATAACGTTATATCACCACACAGTGAACGTTACATAACGTTATATCACCACACAGTGAACGTTACATAACGTTATATCACCACACAATGAACGTTACAAGTGAACGTTACATAACGTTATATCACCACACAGTGAACGTAACATAAGGTCATAGCACCACACATTGAACGTTATATAACGTCATATCACCACACAGTGAACGTTACATAACGTTATATCACCACACAGTGAACGTAACATAAGGTTATATCACCACACATTGAACGTTATATAACGTCATATCACCACACAGTGACTATTAAACCAAACATTTAATGTCAAAACGTCACAACAGATTGTTATTCCACAACACAGCACCATTATTGTTTCAAAATATAATGTCATAATACCGTTAGCATTTATATCGCAACATAGTATATCACAACACTGAAACACACAATGCTATGACATGACGACACGACAGTTAAGCAATAACCATACAATATAAAAACAAACGCATTCAAACTCACCTCATCTAACAACGACTGTTGTCTGAAGTATAACCCAGTATAACAAACAAAACATACCAGCTTACCCACCTAACAGTGAATGTTGCCTGGAGTATAACCCAATATACCAAACACGAGATACAAGCTCACCTCACATTACAACGACTGTCGTCTGGAGTATAACCCAATATATCAAACACGAGATACAAGCTCACCTCACATTACAACGACTGTTGTCTGGTGTATAACCCAATATACCAAACACGAGATACAAGCTCATCCGACCTTACAATAACTGTCGTCTGGAGTATAACCCAATATACCAAACACGAGATACAAGCTCACCTCACATTACAACGACTGTTGTCTGGAGTATAACCCAATATACCAAACACGAGATACAAGCTCACCTCACATTACAACGACTGTCGTCTGGAGTATAACCCAATATACCAAACACGAGATACAAGCTCACCTCACATTACAACGACTGTCGTCTGGAGTATAACCCAATATACCAAACACGAGATACAAGCTCACCTCACATTACAACGACTGTCGTCTGGAGTATAACCCAATATACCAAACACGAGATACAAGCTCACCTCACATTACAACGACTGTCGTCTGGAGTATAACCCAATATACCAAACACGAGATACAAGCTCACCTCACATTACAACGACTGTCGTCTGGAGTATAACCCAATATACCAAACACGAGATACAAGCTCACCTCACATTACAACGACTGTCGTCTGGAGTATAACCCAATATACCAAACACGAGATACAAGCTCACCTCACATTACAACGACTGTCGTCTGGAGTATAACCCAATATACCAAACACGAGATACAAGCTCACCTCACATTACAACGACTGTCGTCTGGAGTATAACCCAATATACCAAACACGAGATACAAGCTCACCTCACATTACAACGACTGTCGTCTGGAGTATAACCCAATATACCAAACACGAGATACAAGCTCACCTCACATTACAACGACTGTCGTCTGGAGTATAACCCAATATACCAAACACGAGATACAAGCTCACCTCACATTACAACGACTGTCGTCTGGAGTATAACCCAATATACCAAACACGAGATACAAGCTCACCTCACATTACAACGACTGTTGTCTGGAGTATAACCCAATATACCAAACACGAGATACAAGCTCACCTCACATTACAACAACTGTTGTCTAAAGTTCAACCCAGTATGTTGCAGTAAGTTTACTCGTTCAGGCATCATAGACTTGCGTTATTTGCACCACTGCAATATTCCATGACAAAATCGAAGCCTATGCACGTGCCACCTTATCAACAAAACAAATTGAATACGTTGCAAAAATGTGATGGCACGTCTATCGAACGTTGAGGTAAATACACTACGCATAATATGACAAAGTAACACATTTATGTAAAGGTAAATACAGGTAACCACGAGTATATATCAAAGATACATCCATACATTACGTCTAGGAAAATACATTACTTGAACATTGTATAACTTCTCAATAACGTTTAGTAGAATTCTGTACACTTCCAGTACGAAACAAAGTTTAACAACAATTGTTCACGGCAATACACTATTAAGCATAAGTTTAGGGGAATACACCGGGAATAAATTACCAGTATACAGCATAGTTAAGTATTAACGTTAAGATGAATACGCTATAAGTACACGTTCAGGCGTTCAGGCATCATAGACTTGCGTTATTTGCACCACTGCAATATTCCATGACAAAATCGAAGCCTATGCACGTGCCACCTTATCAACAAAACAAATGGACCAGTTTGATCATGTAATGTACATAAAGAGGATCGCGCGGCATCGTAACGGTACCATTGCTTCGTTTCGTTTTGTATCGTTTCTCTGTAACATTCAATTGACCAGGTATCAAATTATTGATTGATTTGTGTTCATTCCAGGCCAAACAGATAGCTAGCCGCGTGCCTCAATTTTGTCCTCGGATATTCCCGGGGTGCAGAAAGGGTAAGTGAACGTAACGCCTTGAGAATGGAGATTAGGGGAATACCTTATCTTTCATCTTAACCACTGATCATTAATAGTTATGATTAACACTTAATTGAAAGGCAGCAAATATCCTAAGAAACCAGTTTTAAAAGGTTGTTTTTATCCTTGAATATTATAACACATGCAATTTACCTACTTATACATAAAACCATGATTCATCACTTTTTTACTAACACCTTTGGATAAGATTTCATTTAATTATATATTGTGCTTCTTTAAGTCGTTTTTTGATCAATATAGTAAAGAAAACTGGTTGATCAAACAAATATACAGAAAAATGCAACCTTTACAAGAGAAACAAAACACATTATATTCAAAATTAGGACACCAATATTGAAAAAAATACTACATGGAATTTAAATTCACAATCAATAGCAACGCTATAATTACATGGAGACGACGAAGGATAATGATGCTCTAGTAAAACATAAGTCAAGTTGACTATATAGACTAGTGATTCAATGAGACAGAGTGTAACGCTCGTACCTGGTCCTTATGAAGGAGAATTCTGTCATTCATAATGCTCCAGGCCACGTCACAAGATGGATACATAGGTCCTAGCTTGCCGTGATACTGGAAAAACTTCTGGAGGTATTGGGGAAATATCTTCCGAAGATTCACAGAATCTAAAATATGAAGAATACAATGTACAAGTTAGATTTAAATAGTGAACAAAAAGTCTTGGGTTTAAACATATATATACAAGGTATATCTGTAATTAAAAATTGCTAGATGGTGTTATAAAAGTAGCTAAATGGAGATCACTGGTCTCATGAAATAACGAGATATATATAGCACTTGTTTCAGGGAATACTCAGAAATATAGCACTTGTCTCAGGGAATACTCAGAAATATAGCACTTGTCTCAGGGAGTACTCAGAAATATAGACTTGTCTCAGAGAATATACTCAGAAATATAGTTATTCCAGGAAACAAACAGAAAGCCATTATCACTAGTGTCAAGTGTTACCGGTCACATTATTAGTGGGAAAATCGGTTAATTTAAAACATCTCTTCAGTAGAGTACATTTTGATGTGTAAACAACTTAAATGGTATCTTACAGTACGGGCAAAATTATCAATAACGAGGAAAGAGGTGACTTGGATGGGCGAAAAAATGGCCGGCTAAAATCTAAAATTTCAAAACACAATATATTTTATAACGTGGTAAATTGGAATAAGAATGTAACAGAAACAAAATTCTTCAATGATGAACAAAAACAATTTATAATGTTAAAATAAGGAAATATAATATTAAAAGATAAAAGAAAAATAACTAAAATAATCACTTAAGTTATTAAAACTAAGAAAACAGTTTAATCAGAATTATGTCCCTTTAACCCTCCACAGATCAGTGTACGATATTGTCAGTGATGATTAACAAATACATGTGTATTGTGTGTTTTTTGTTGTATTCAGAAAGAGATGGGATATTAGTGTATATACATGTACTTATACTATAATGGCATGTAGGTACGTAACAATCATGATACATGAAGAAAGATCAGATCGTCCTTTAAATAAACATTTTTTTATTTATTCCTTTCCAAAAATGATATTTAATATTTACCAGCTCGTCCATCATCTTTGACAATACTTTTGAAAGTCGGAAAAAGATCCGAGTTTGTACTTGTCTGAAAATACAAGAAGTAGAGTTAGCGCATTGTCTTAAAAGAAACAAAAAATCATTTATATCATATTTGATTTAATATCTTTGCAGAATCCTATCACTACTACATAAATATATGTATATAGATGTTTGAATTATAGATGGTGAAAGACGACTCTTATTCACGCATGTCACATGTATAATAAAGTTCTTTTACGGTTCGGGCAGAAGATGCCAGATTGAAACAACTGATTGAGTCATGAGAAGATGCCAGATTGGAAAAACTGATTGGGATGAGGAGAAGATGCCAGATTGGACGAACTGATTGGATCGAGTAGAAGATGCCAGATTGAAACAACTGATTGGGACGGGGAGATGATGCCAGATTGGAACAACTGATTGGGTCATTTGAAGATGCCGGATTGGACAAACTGATTGGGATGAGAAGATGCCAGATTGGAACAACTGATTGGGTCGGGCAGAAGATGCCAGATTGGAACAACTGATTGGGACGGGGGGAAGGTGCCAAATTGGAACAACTGATTGGGTAAGGGAGAAGATGCCAGATTGGAACAACTGCTTGGGTCGGGGAGAAGATGACAGTTTGGAACACCCAATTGGATCGGTGGGAAGATGCCAGATTGGAACAACTGATAGGGTCGGGGAGAAGATGCCAGATTGGAACAACTGATTGGGTCATGAGAAGAAGCCAGATTGGAACAACTGATTGGGACGGGGAGATGATGCCAGATTGGAAAAACTGATTGGTTCGGGCAGAAGATGCCAGATTGAAACAACTGATTGAGTCATGAGAAGATGCCAGATGAACAAACTGAATGGGATGCGGAGAAGATGCCAGATTGGAAAAACTGATTGGATCGGGTAGAAAATGCCAGATTGAAACAAGTGATTGAGTCATGAGAAGATGCCAGATTGGACAAACTGATTGGGTCGAGGAGAAGATGCCAGATTGGAACAAGTGATTGGGTCGGGGACAAGATGCCAGATTGGAACAACAGATTGGGTCGGGGAGAACATGCCAGATTGGAACAACTGATTGGGTGGGGCAGAAGATGCCAGATTGGAACAACTGATTGGGTCATGAGAAGAAGCCAGATTGGAACACCCGATTGGGTCGTTGGGAGATGCCAGATTGGAACAACTGATAGGGTCGGGGAGAAGATGCCAGACTGGAAAAACTGATTGGGATGGGGAGAAGATGCCAGATTGGAACAATTTATTGGGTCGGGGAGAAGATGCCAGACTGGAAAAACTGATTGGGATGGGGAGAAGATGCCAGATTGTAACAACTGATTGGGACGGGGGGAAGATGCCAGATTTGAACAACTGATTGGGTCAGGGAGAAGATGCCAGATTGGAACAACAGATTGGGTAGGGGAGAAGATGCCAGATTGGTACAACTGATTGGGTCGGGGAGAAGATGCCAGATTGGTACAACTGATTGGGACGGGGAGATGATGCCAGATTGGAAAAACTGATTAGGTCGGGGAGAAGAAGCTAGATTGAAACAAGTGATTGGGTCGGGGAGAAGATGCCAGATTGGAACAACTGATTGGGTCCGGGAGAAGATGCCAGATTGGAAAAAACTGATTGGAATGGGGAGAAGATGCCAGATTGGACACACTGATTGGGTCGGGGAAAAGATGCCAGATTGGACAAACTGATTGGGTTGGGTAGAAGATGCCAGATTGGAACAACTGATTGGGACGGGGGGAAGATGCCAGATTGGAACAACTGATTGGGTCGGGGAAAAGATGCCAGACCGGAAAAACTGATTGGGATGGGGAGAAGATGCAAGATTGGAACAACTGATTGGGTCATGAGAAGAAGCCAGATTGGAACACCCGATTGGGTCGTTGGGAGATGCCAGATTGGAACAACTGATTGGGTCGGTGAGATGATGCCAGATTGGAACAACTGATTACAGTGTAGGTCGGGGAGAAGAAGCCAGATTGAAACAAGTGATTGGGTCGGGGAGAAGATGCCAGATTGGAACAACTGATTGGGTCCGGGAGAAGATGCCAGATTGGAAAAACTGATTGGGATGGGGAGAAGATTCCAGATTGGACAAACTGATTGGGTCGGGGAAAAGATGCCAGATTGGACAAACTGATTGGAATGGGTAGAAGATGCCAGATTGGAACAACCGATTGAAAAAGGGGGGAGATGCCAGATTGAAACAACTGATTGGGTCGGGGAGAAGATGCCAGACCGGAAAAACTGATTGGGATGGGGAGAAGATGCAAGATTGGAAAAACTGATTGGGTCGGGGAGAAGATGCCAGATTGGAACAACTGATTGGGTCGGGGAGAAGATTCCAGATTGGAACAACTGATCGGGTAGTAGAGAAGGAAACATTTCGATACTAGTTGCCCCAAACGACTTGCAGTGCGATTTAATTTCCCCCTTGAACATAGACATGTAGAATGTAGCAGAATGTCGTGATCGTCATTAGAGAGTAAAACATTAATCACTACACGAGGTAATGAAACTGTACACGAGGTAACGAAACATCAATTCATTGCTATTTCTAAGTTTTTATTTCTTTTACATTTACTTTGTTTTAGTTAATACAAAATAGCATTAGGGCAACGGAGAAAAAAATAAATAGCAAATAACTATCTCAATGATTCGACATAATAACTCGAATTTTCGACTTGATAATTCGACTGTTCGAAATAAGACATGTAACGTATCTTGAACTGTCGAGATCATAAAAATGACTGTGAATAACATGCCGTTCAGCGGACTTTACTTTGAACAACAGGACCCCAGTGCCTCTATTGGTATTGTTTTTACATTTTTAAAGTGTCGCCAAATCCGATGTAACACAATAACAAGGAAACCTTCTAAACTCTTAGAAATGGATACTAAAACAAAGTTTGAGATAGTATTACAGATACTTAGGTTTCCGTATTTATCAAAAATCTATTTTTAACAAGAAAGTAAAAATGTTTCCCTTTGCCGAATAATTTGGAAATAACATGATATAATGATCAAAAGAAATAGTAAGATAAACCTATATATAATTACCATAGCGAAATACTATTACGAAACAATAACAGCGATGGCACGATGTAATAGCATCAGCACGATAGAATGGCCATGACATCAGAAAATAGCAGGAAAATTATAACAAATTGTGAAAATAGTATACAGTGCTGTTTTTACTTAATTTTACCTGAGTATCTTGGACCCAGAAAGAAAGGACGGCCAGTCCGTCGGCCTGACCAGTGGCCATTGTTACGTTTACGTACTTGGTGTTATAGCTGAGGATGTATATCTGGAATAGAACAAAAAGGAAGTTTATCTTCAGCCATGGTGGATATCATATTACGGACAGAAATAAAGAAACAAGTTCCTTATTAAATGTCGATGTTGTATGATATATCTTGTCTTATTAATTAGGAAATATTTAGAAATAAAAAAGAAAATATTTTAAACAAATTCAGTTGATAACAGGTTAGAATTACACAGTACTATTGTTGTAATTATTGTCAAATTAATGTAATAAAACTTATAGTATATTTATATTAATAAACTTTTATATAAAATTAAAGCCTTTTGCTGAGGTGGATACATAGTTTTATTAACCTGAAATACAGACCATGTATCGAGCGATATCAAAAGGCTTCAAAAGTTCTATTATAAATGATATTTTTATTGATATAAAAAATGTAACTATATAAACTGCAATAAAAGAATTATTGTTTAAATAACACTTATTATAACAGATGTACCAACAGTAATAACTGAAAATTCTAACAGGTGTACCTGCATCGCAAACTGTCGTTTATTGTACAGGTGTATAGTAGAGTTGTCCATAAGCATGGTGATTCGATCGGCCTTATATCTGTCCACAAAACCCCCTCCGCTCACGTACAGTTCCCCCTCCAGGTCCATGTTGACTAAGGGCAGATAATCATGTTTACACTAACTCTTTCCATTATTTGACTAGTAAAGAATACAACAGGTCGTGCTTATCAAATGAAGTAAAGTTCTTAGTGAAAAAAAGAAAAGAAATTGAAATCCAATATAGCATTATCTTTGCCTATCTGTGACACACATATCCGCGAAAATGCAGTAAAAATGTTGGGAAAAGATATGCTATACTTATTCTGTCGGGGGAAAATAGCTATAACTCATCGGTGTTCCAGTTTTAACAGGCAAACTGTAAAGCTGACAGAACAATGTGTTTCGGTAGCTGTTGCCCACCGGTTATATTAAAAAAAAAAAGTGGCGATGCATCATCAATGTATTCATGACATAAACGGTATAGACGTTAAGATATGTCTGGAGTATACGAACTGAACTAAACCAATTTATAGATAGTTGAACTAATAACGAAAAGAACATCTCCAGGATAATTGAAGTATAAAGATAACCAACAACAACAGATACTCGCGGCCTTACTGCTATCTGATGATTTTCGTAGAACGACTGAGGCGTTGTTGAATCCCTCTAATTTGAACGGTAGCGCAGCTTTGTACTTAAGTGACATCACTTCCGGAATGATGACGGGATAGTCCGTGCTACAAGTGCCATCACCTGTAATTAAAACGAAGAAAATATAGATATCATTCTATTTATTATCAGTACATGTATTCCATACGTATTTCTGTTATAAAATTATATAGATATATTTCTCTGTCAAATAAACATAGCCATGAGACATCGCAATTCTGAACGCACGAAACACTATTTTATCAATCGACCGTCAGATATTACATACTGATATTACGACCTGTACTCTCTTAAGAGAAAGATTCCTCAAAATAAAAACAAATTGTATGAATAAAGAGGTTTTTGTGGAGAGTAAACAAATCAACATGGTTTGCAATAAGTGGTCAGACAAGAATGGTCTTCAAAATAAACTAACAACTTTTGAAAAAGATATGAAAAATAAACCGTAAAACCATTAGATGTAGTGCATTTTTTCAATTACATGAAAAATAGGCACATTGGCTAAAATTTGGACAGGTGCATTGTATTTGACTGAATACCATTAAAAAAGGCACTGTTCGTTCCTTCACTACACTTTCTTCAATGAAAATCATTTTCTTTGTATCTGTTTTAGTTATCACAATTAATTGATTGAACTACACATATATATTAAATTCATGTACTAACAATGTTCACCTTTGATATAACGTGAAATCTAAAGTTGATGCATAGACGTCCCTAGATCGATCACTGGAATCGCCAAACGGACTTATATCATTTATAAGTTTGAAGTTATATTTTATTAAATAATTACAAATTATCACTGTTGTTAAGGATTGTTAACTGTGTGTTATGAAAGGTTTACTCTTATATTCTAAAATAAAGCATTTTAAAAAGTTGAATGGAAAATGGTAAAAACATTATATGGTACCAGAGAGTGGTACATGTATATATGCCTACTACAGTCTTACCCCCATACATCCGGAGTACAGCAGTGACTGCATGGTACCAGAGAGTGATATATAGTCCCACTACAGTCGTACCCCCATACATCCGGTAGTACAGCAGTGACGATATGGTCCCAGAGAGTGATATATAGTCCCACTACAGTCGTACCCCCATACATCCGGTAGTCCAGCAGTGACTGTATGGTACCCGAGAGTGATATATAGTCCGACTTCTAGTCGTTCCACCATACATCCGGTAGTACAGCAGTGACGATATGTTACCAGAGAGTGATATATAGTCCAACTACAGTCGTACCCCCATACATCCGGTAGTACAGCAGTGACGGTATGGTACCAGAGACGAGAGTGATATATAGTCCAACTACAGTCGTACCCCCATACATCCGGTAGTCCAGCAGTGACTGTATGGTACCCGAGAGTGATATATAGTCCGACTTCTAGTCGTTCCACCATACATCCGGTAGTACAGCAGTGACGATATGGTACCAGAAATTGATATATAGTCAGTGACGATATGGTACCAGAGAGTGATATATAGTCCTACTACAGGCATACCACCATACATCCGGTAGTACAGTAGTGATTGTATGGTATACATCCGGTAGTAAAGCAGTGACTGTATGGCACCAGAGAGTGATATATAGTCCGACTTCTAGTCGTACCACCATACATCCGGGAGTACAGCAGTGACTGTATGGCACCAGAGAAGAGAGTGATATATAGTCCAACTACAGTCATACCACCATACATCCGGTAGTACAGCAGTGACGATATGGTACCAGAGAGGGATATATGGTAGTAAAGCAGTGACTGTATGGTACCAGACAGTGATATATAGCCAACTACAGTCGTACCGCCATACATCCGGTAGTACAGCAGTGACGATATGGTACCAGAGAGTGATATATAGTCCTACTACAGGCATCCCACCATACATCCGGTAGTACAGTAGTGATTGTATGGTATACATCCGGTAGTAAAGCAGTGCCTGTATGGTACCAGAGAGTGATATATAGTCCGCCTTCTAGTCGTACCACCATACATCCGGTAGTACAGCAGTGACTGTATGGTACCAGACAGTGATATATAGTCCAACTACAGTCGTACCGCCATACATCCGGTAGTACAGCAGTGACGATATGGTACCAGAGAGTGATATATAGTCCCACTACAGTCGTACCACCATACATCCGGTAGTACAGCAGCGATTATATGGTACAATAGAGTGATATATAGTCCTACTGCAGTCGTTCCCCCATACATCCGAGAGTGGTAAATAGTCCCACTACAGTCGTACCACCATACATCCGGTAGTACAGCAGTGACGATATGGTACCAGAGATTGATACAGAATGTAGTCCTACTGTAGTCGTACTCCTATACATCCGGTATTACAGCAGTGACGATATGGTACCAGAGATTGATATATAGTCCAACTACAGTCGTACCACCATACATCCGGTAGTACAGAAGTGACTGTATGAAACCAGAGAGTGATATATAGTCCTACTGCAGTCGTTCCCCCTACATCCGGTAGTACAGCAGTGACGGTATGGTCCCAGAGAAGAGAGTGATATATACTCCAACTACAGTCGTACCACCATACACCCGGTAGTACAGCAGTGACGATATGTTACCAGAGACGGTATGGTACCAGAGAAGAGAGTCATATATAGTCCAACTACAGTCGTACCCCCATACATCACCATACATCCGGTAGTACAGAAGTGACTGTATGAAACCAGAGAGTGATATATAGTCACACTACAGTCGTACTCCAATACACCAGGTAGTACAGCAGGGACGATATTGAACCAGAGAGTGATATATAGTCCGACTTATAGGCGTACCACCATACATACGGTAATACAGCAGTGACGGTATGGTACCAAAGAAGAGAGTGATATATAGTCCAATTACAGTCGTACCACCATACATCCGGTAGTACAGAAGTGACTGTATGGTACCAGACAGTGATATATAGTCCAACTACAGTCGCACCGCCATACATCCGGTAGTACAGCAGTGACGATATGGTACCAGAGAGTGATATATAGTCCACTACAGTCGTACCACCATACATCCGGTAGTCCAGAAGTGACTGTATGGTACCAGACAGTGATATATAGTCCAACTACAGTCGCACCGCTATACATCCGGTAGTACAGCAGTGACGATATGGTACCAGAAATTGATATATAGTCCCACTACGGTAGTACAGCAGTGACGATATGGTACCAGAGATTGATATATAGTCCACTACAGTCGTACCACCATACATCCAGTAGTACAGAAGTGACTGTATGATACCAGAGAGTGATATATAGTCCTACTGCAGTCGTACCACCATACATCCGGTAGTACAGCTGTGACGATATGGTCCCAGACAGTGATATATAGCTCCACAATAGTCATACCACCAAGTACAGCAGTGACTGTATGGTACCAGAGAGTGGTATATAGTCCTACTACAGTCGTTCCCCCATACATCCGGTAGTACAGCAGCGATTATATGGTACAATAGAGGGATATATAGTCCTACTGCAGTCGTACCCCCATACCTCCGGTAGTACAGCAGCGATTATATGGTACAATAGAGTGATATATAGTCCTACTGTAGTCGTACCACCATACATCCGGTAGTACAGCTGTGACGATATGGTACCAGACAGTGATATATAGCTCCACAATAGTCATACCACCATACATCCGGTAGTACAGCAGTGACGATATGGTACCAGAGAGTGATATATAGTCCTACTACAGGCATACCACCATACATCCGGTAGTACAGTAGTGATTGTATGGTACCAGAGAGTGGTATATAGGCCTACTACAGTCGTACCACCATACATCCGGTAGTACAGCAGTGACGCTATGGAACAAGAGAGTGGTATATAGTTCCACTACAGTCGTACCCCCATACATCCGGTAGTCAGCAGTGACGATATGGTACCAGAGAGGGATATATAGTCCCACTAAAGTCGTACCAGTATGCATCCGGTAGTACAGCAGTGACGATATGGTACCAGAGAGGGATATATAGTCCCTCTAAAGTCGTACCACCATACGTCCGGTAGTACAGCAGTGACGATATGGTACCAGCGAGTGATATATAGTCCAACTACAGTCGTACATCCATACATCCGTAGTACAGCAGTGACTTTATCGTACCAGAGAGTGATATATAGTCCCACTTCATTCGTACCCCCATATATCCGGTAATAAAGCAGTTACTGTATTGTACCAGAGAGTGATATATAGTCCTACTACAGTCGTACCATTATTTATACATCTGGTAGAACAGCAGTGACTGTATGGTACCAGAGAGTGGTATATAGTCCCACTACAGTCGTACCACCATACATCCGGAAGTACAGCAGTGACGATATGGTACCAGAGAGTGGTATATAGTCCTACTACAGTCGTACCCCCATACATCCGGTAGTACAGCAAGGAAGATATGGTACCAGACAGTGATGTATAGTCCCACTACAGGCGTACCACCATACATCTGGTAGTACAGCAGCGATTATATGGTACCAGAGAGTGATATATAGTCGATATGTTACCAGAGAGGGATATATAGTCCCACTACAGTCGTAACCTCATACAACGATATGGTACCAGAAATTGATATATAGTCCCACTATAATCGTACCCCCATTCATCCGGTAGTACAGGAGAGTGATATATAGTCGATATGTTACCAGAGAGTGAGATATAGTCCTACTACAGGCGTACCACCATACACCTGGTAGTACAGCAGCGATTATCAGAAGTGACGATATGGTACCAGAAATTGAGTAGTACAGCAGTGACGGTATGGTACTAGAGAGTGGTATATAGTGCTACTACAGTCGTACCACCATACATCCGGTAGTACAGCAGTGACGATATGTTACCAGAGAGTGATATATAGTCCTACTACAGTCGTACCCCCATACATCCGGTAGTCAGCAGTGACGATATGGTACCAGAGAGTGATGTATAGTCTAACTACAGTCGTACCACCATACATCCGGTAGTTCAGCAGTGACGATAAGGTACCAGAGAGGGATGTATAGTCCCTCTAGAGTCGTACCACCATACATCCGGTAGTACAGCAGTGACGATATGGTACCAGCATACATCCGG